GTGCTAGAAGGAACCCCAAAGGTAACTGAGTCCTCCCCATCCCCTGTATTATTTTTATAGATGAGTCCCAGAGAGGTGAAGTCACTGCCCAGAGTCACACAGCTAGTAACTGTCTGAGGCAGATTTTAAACCCAAGTCTTCTTGATTCTGAAGCAAGTGCTCTATCCAGTACACCCCAACGACTCACAGGAAGGGGTTGGGGATTGTTGCTCTAACCCAGCAGGGGAGGGGATGATAAAGAGAGAAAGACAAAGATGAAGAGGAGTAGAGACAATATAGTGCTGAGCAGGAAAATCAGAGCAGCAGGGGATAATCACAGAGGCAGATCTCAGCGGGATACAAAGGAAAAAATTAGGGAGATCCCAATAATGATTTAGCATTCAAGATGATAATAACTGGCATTTATATAGGCTGCGAAGATTTGCAGAATACTCTTCATACATTATCTCATTTGATATTCACAGCAATCTGGGGAGGGAGGCACTGGTATTATCTCCATTTACAGATGGGGAAACTGAGACTGAGAGCTATTGCCCCAGGTCACATAGCTGATAAGGGACTGAGGCAGGATTTGAACCCATCTTCCTGCCTATAAAGCCGGCCCTCCATCCACTTCACCATCTAGCTGCCCATTTAGAGGAGCAAACAAGCATAGATTCAGAGCCGGAAGGGATCTTAGAGGTCATCGAGTCAAACCCTGAGACCCGAGAAGGGCAGCTGACTTGCCCAAGGTCACACAGGTAGTAGAAGGGAGAGCCGGGATTCCTGCCCTGGTCCTGAGGCCAACGCTCTGCCCTATGCCTCATCAAGCGTGACTCTCCTTGGGGGCACCAAGGAGAGGACTCTTGTGGATTGGACTAGATGATCTTGCAGGTCCCTTCCTAATGATAATGTAATGTCAGATAATAATCGACATTTACATAATGCTTTGTGGTTTGCAAAGTGATTTCTACATATCTTTAATGCCCACTTGTCTGGACTGCTGGAGAGAGGATTCTACTCTCGGGGTAAGGGTTGGACTCAAATCATCTTTGAGGTCTTTATCAATTCTGGAATCATGCAATTCCATGAAACCTAATAGGCTGCAATCTGTCAGTCAGTTGATTGTATCTGAGGACCCACTGTGTGTTGAATCACTATGAGGAAGGAACATAAGGAACAGAAGATGGACCCTACCCTTAAGGTTCTTACAATTGAATGGAATTATTAAAAAAAAAACCCTGTATTTTAAAGTCTTTATTTAAAGTATTTGATATTTTGCATGAATAGAGAGCCAGCCTCCAAACCAGGAAGCCCTGGGTTCAAGTCCTGCCTTAGATAATTATTAGCAGTTAATCTCTGGTGGCCCATCCATCCCCTCAGTGCTCCAGGTTAAGCTGTAGAAAAGGTGCCAGCCTGCATTGATCAAGTTCCCTATACTAATGAAATCAGAGGTCCAGTCCTTATCCCTATTTCTTGACACTCTGTGAGAAGCTCATCTACACTGGTTGCCTGGCTGAGAGTCACAGAACATTACAGTTTCCAAAGAACTTTTTTTAAAAAAAGGTACCACAGAGGGCAATTGGAGGCACCCAGGAGTCATTTTTCTTCTAGCTCCTGGCTTGAGGCCCTGACCTTCAAAAAAAACAAAAAAGCCACAAAAGACAGCACATATGGCCAATGGGCAAACTCCTAGCTCCTGCTGCTGGAAGTCCTTGTCCTCCCTTCTTGAAGTCATTATGGAGGTCCATTGCGGTGAAGCTCTCTACTGGGCTCCAAGGGGCAGTACCACCAGTATGTGGCATGTCTAGTTTGTCACTGGCACACTTCTCAGTTCCTTGTAGGGTACACTGTCTCCTACTGGATGTGCAGGACACTGGGCTCACTCTCCTCTTCTCCCTCCCACTCTGTGCTACAGCTTTAAAGTTCTGCCTCCTTGAGATGCTCCTGAAGGATGCTCAGTGAGGACTAGATGCTTCCAAAGTGGCCTGCTGTGTCATACACAGATCCAGAGGGTTGTCCGATTCGTTTCGCCAGTACCAAGATATTCCCTGTGTAGCACCATCTGTCTTTACTCCAATGATCTAAGCACTTCTGTCCTCCCAAAGTGATGGACTTGTTTCCCCCTAGATTAACTGATTGATCAGCGCGATGAAGAAGTCTAGGTCTTCTGTGTTTACATTAATCAGTATCCCATTTCTCCTTGTTCCCTTTGAAGAGAAGAACCGTTTACTTCTTTTTATATCTCACAAGCCTTGTAGTGGCTTGCACCCAGTAAATGCTTACAGGTGGATTCAGAGAAGATTAGATTTGAATCCTTCCTCTGTATTCACTCCCTCCATGACCTTGGGCAAACTGCTTAAATAATCTGGGTCATAGTTTCCTCATCTATAAAATGAAAGGATTGCACTGGATCATCTTCCTGATCTAAATCATATGACTTGCTCAAGGTCACACAGCTAGTTAGTGGTGAAGCTGGGGCTAAAACATACATTTGTGACTTCAAATTTAGTTCTCTTGCCTTCTTGCCACAATAATTAATGGGTTTAGTGCATGTTACAGAGACAGACTGATTTTAGAAGTTTAGTCATCCTTACAGTGAAACCCACGGAGCCTGGAAGTTAAGTCTAAAGGAGGAAGAAGATTTCACCTCCAAAGCAGAAGGAAACAGTGGCATGTAATTCATGCTAATAGGTCTAAGAACTCCTTTATGTCCATAGGATTCAACTTTCTCCCAACCACCTTGCATGGAACAAGAGGACATCAGTGTGTCACTGGAGGGAGTGTCCACACCGATCAGAGAACAGATCTATTGAAACACTGAAGTGGTTTTGATGCCAGGTAGACAAGGCCAAAAGGAGGCTCTCGATGGTAGCCATTTCCCTTTGTTCTCCCTGAAGACAGTTTCATTTTCATCTGTGTCCTACAAGACTTGTATAGCAGCGTGTACCTAGTAGGTGCTTAATCATTTTTTGTTGAATTGAATTGAATGCAAGGAGTCTGACTCCCAGAGTGTCATAAGTGGGAATAGGATGAAAACTCAAATTCAGGATCTTGTAGCTTAATCCTAACCCTCCCCTCTCTTGCCAGCATTCTGGCATCTAGCAAGACTGAAAATAACCACTACCCACAAACATACGTATGCTGAAGCTTTATTTGACAACTGGCTAATTTCCTCTCCCAACAGAAACAGGCAGGCAGTGTTAGGAGGAGAAAGGAGTGTGCTTGAACTAAAAAACCCTGAGCAAATGGAAAAAAAGGCTCAAGAAAGTTGAGGACCAGACGCTTCAGTGGGTCCACGTGGGGGCAGGTGCCCTGGAGAGTAAGAAATATATGAACTTGCAAGCATAACACGGTGAGCCCAGCCAAAGGAAACACAGTGAGGTTTGGGGGTGGAAGAGAGTCGGGGGGAATGTGTTCCTAATAGGATGGAAATTCTTTCAGCCAGAGGGGAACAAAATAGTAGCAGGGTGCCCCAGATCAGCCCATCTGTGAAGGCAGAGTTGTAAGAACCACTCATAAAACACCACTTCTCCTTTCCAACACTGAATTCTTGACAAATGGACTGTTTTCCTCCTAGGTAAATCAGACCTATTAGGGTAAAATAAATAAAATCCACTGAAAGTGACTCTTGTTTCTTTCTCCCCTCCATGGAATGAGCACTTCCCATCTGAATTCCTTTGCCTGTTCTGTCTCTCTACTCCTATTCCCCAGCACCTTTGTTCCAGCCCAGTCTACCTATGGGTTACAGTGATGAGATTCATTTGAGTGCTGGGACATTTCAGTCTCTCTCCTCCTTTCCTTCCTCCTTCTCTTTCACCTCTTGCTCTATGTCTTCATCCCTCATTGTCTATCTTGATCTCTGTCATGGTCGGTCCATCTAGGCAGTCTCTGTCTCTCTCTTCTTTTCTTTCTCCTTCTCTTCCCTCCCCCCTCCCCGCTATTTCTAAATTCTCTTTCAGTAAAAATAAATTCACACTGAGACCTGAGTGAGACAGGAGGCCAGTTTGGTGTGAGTGGACGCAGGTGTGGGTCATGTTTATTCTGGATATCCAATGTCAGGCAAACAAGCAGAAGAAGCCAAGACTGAGGAATGTGGTTAAAGACATTGGCAGAGGGTTGGCGTGCCAAGGAGCTAACACACAGGGAAGAACCTTGGGTCCTGGGTAGGGGTGGGAACTGGGGTGAGGAAACTAAACTGATCATCTACCTTTCTACCTTCAGGCTGAACCATATTCAAATAGCTCTGGATCAGTGTGTGCCCTTCTCATTCAAATGAGCATAAGTCAACATTCCAGAGGTAGTTTTTAAAATAATAAATGAGGTGAAATGCTGAGGAAGTTCTTAACCTGGGACCTATGAATTTCAATATATATATATTATATATATATATATATATATAATATATATATGTTTGATAACTGTCATTTCAATATAATTGGTTTTCTTTGTAACCCTCTGTATTTTATTTTATACATTTAAAAACATTCTTCTGAGAAGGGTGACATAGGCTTCACTACACATTGCCTAAGGGGTCCAGAGCACACAAAAGGTTAAGCACCCCTGCTCCAGAGGAAAGAAAATCAACTTAACTTCTTCTTTCTATTATTTTAAAAGAAAACACTGCATAGCATTGGCTTAATAACAATAATGGGTGATGTTTATCTCGTTCTTTAAGGCTTGAAGAAGGTTATAGAGACCTTATTTCATTCTATCTTTACAATAGCCCTGTGAGGTAGGTACCGTAAGCATAAATATACATATATGCTTATAAGTATGCAGATAGATATACAGACACATGTAGGCATATGCAAAGTATTCCCATTCAGACTTTTGGGATGTTCTTTACATCTACATATGGATGCACATGTCTATGAAACACACACGCTACATGTATGTAAATATATATATACCCCTACACTAGACATGCAATTTCCATGGTGTAGGGAACTCCTGCTGAGGAACCAAAGAGATTAGGACTTGCTATACAGTTCATAGGCTTAGAGACTCACCTGGGAATAATGAAAATTCAAGTGATTTGTCCAGGATGAATCAATCAATCATTAAACATTTATTAAGCACCTTGTGCATGCCAGTGTAATGCCTACGTTTGGACTTTCCCCTTAGGATCAGTGAAAATGTCTGAAACCTAACTGTGAGTCCTGGAAGAATGGTTCCAGATAGATAGTGTTCTCTTCCTGCCCTGGGAAAGACAGAGACTGTCATGAGCTTGTGTAGGTTCCACCCCTCCCCCCTCTCACCTCACCACCCTGTCCCCAGCGGCACTGGGTGTTTTGAACTGGGAGAGAAGGTTAGACTGGGGAAAAAATGCTTCCCTGGCTCTCAAACCTTTCCTCCTGAATACCAGGGGGAGGAGATTCCAAGAGAGTACCCGGCTATTCTCAACAAATTTAAGTCACCATTGTACACAATAACAGCCACGTTTTGCAATGACTAAGATTGTTAAACTGAACCCTTCTCAGCATTATGAGGATCTAAGACATTTCCAGAGGCCTCGGGATGGATAATGCTGTTCACATCCAAAGAAAGAACTATGGAAGTCGAATTGCTCTCACTTATTTTTACCTTCTGTTGAGTTTTGTTTCATCTTTCTGATGGTTCCTCGTATTGGTTTTAATTTTTACTTACAACTTCACTAATGTGAAAATATGTTTAATGGGTATGTAAATGTAAAGCCTATATCAGATTGTGTGCTGTCTTGGGGAGGGTGGGGGGGAGGAAAAGGGAGAAAAATTTTCAACTCAAAAGCATATGGAAAAAATTAAAAAATTTAAATTAAAAAAATAAATAAATTTAAGTCACCAACCCTAGATAAGTTGTAGCGCAACACCCCTTCAGGATACTCTCACAACTTGCCCTTTCATTTGAGGCCTGGGCCCTCAGAGGCCCAATGACACCTTTTGGGATTCCAGGGGTAACCCTGTGGGTAGCCATTCCTATTACTGTAGCTCCTAACCCCCCCCCCGGATGTGCACCCAACTGTCAGCCAGTAGATAATTAGCTTTTAGCAAAGTAATAAGGTGGTGTAACAAGAAGAGTTGCTACAAAACATTCAACCAACCTGGGGCTTACTCTTCCACAAGTACATACGGTGTCCATGAGAGAATAGACTCAAATAAAGAATATGATGGTTGTGTGGCACACAGGTCAGGTATGCTGGTAAATGTTTAACAATCAGATTTCTGAAAAAAAATTACACATGACGCATTTTTAAGTTTAATCTGCATTACTAACATCTCCACCATTACTTTCTTAAGTCTAGACAATCAACATTAATTAAGCCCTGATTTGTATTATTCTCTACTGATAATTTAACATTTAGCTCTTGTGAGCTGGTTGGAGTTGGCTCCAGCACACCACTACACATAGGGCAAAGGTAACTTACAGCTCCTGGCACTTCGTGATTTGGGATCCTTTTTCTCTTTATAGAATTCTCATACAGCTTCTCTTGGATGCAGCCTCTCTCTGGGGTGGACTGCTCAGCCAGGCTCCTAGGATCGGTGGCTGATGGCTCTCTTCTCTGTTTCCTTCCTTGGGGTGCTCCATCTCTGTATCTATGTCTGTCTTTAAGAATGTGTGTCTCAGGGGCAGCTAGGTGGCGCAGTGGAGAGAGCACCAGCCCTGGATTCAGGAGGACCTGAGTTCAAATCCGGCCTCAGACACATAATAACACTTACTAGCTGTGTGACCCTGGGCAAGTCACTTAACCCCATTGCCTAACCAAAAAAAAAAAAAAGAATGTGTGTCTCTGCTACTGGCTGGATGCATCATCTCCTCCTGGTTCAGTAGCTCTGATGATGTGGGCGATAGTGCAGGTTTCTTCTGCCAAAGTGCTCCTGAAATCTTCTATTGCTGAATGGCCGGCTGGTTTTGCATAGAGGCCCCTATCCTCTCTGTCAGTCACAAGATGTATCCTGAGTGGTGAAAGTGGCCTTCCTCCTAGGGCCCAGGTCCTCTACTCCTCCTGATTAAGAACTCATTCTTACGTGGTTGTGGGGTTAGAAGAATTCTCCATTAACAGTGCCTGCAGCACCTCTTTAAAGACTACTGATTACATTTTGGGCCTTCTTGACCCCATCATGTGAGGTGAGGATGGAACTTCCTTCCTTACATATGTGATCACTGATCTGTCCCATTGGTGAGACTTGACAAATTTTGGAGAATTGGGGAGAGGTGCCATAAAATGTCAGGCATTTTTTGGGTCCCAATTTTCAAAAAGGGGAAGAAGATGAAGCCTTCAAACTATTTCATGGAAACGTAGACATTTAGATTTGGAAGTGGCTGTCTGGTCCAATCTATATCTAAAAAGTAATTCTCACTATGATATGCCATGTGCAACTAGAGGCCATCCAGCCTCAGCCTAAGGCCCTCCAAAGAGGGGGCACTCATTCATCAGTCAATAAGCATTTATTAAACACCTACTATGTGTCAGGCACTTTGCTAGTTTATTATTAGGGATACAAATGCAGTAAATAAAACAATAAATGATGTGCCAGATACTGTGCTATGCACCAGGGATGCCAAGAAAAGCAAAAACAACCCCTATCCTCAAGGAACTTACAATCTAATGGGAGAGACAACATGCGAATGACTACACACAAACAAGGTGTGTGTGTGTGTGTGTGTGTGTGTGTGTGTGTGTGTGTGTGTGTGTGATAGACTTTACTTAAAATGAAGGTTGAGGAAAGGGTCAAAAGGTCAAAATGGTGAAAGCGTAGTTCCAGTGATATAGATACATATATATATATATATACATATATATATATATACACAGAGAGAGAGAGAGAGAGAGAGAGAGAGGGAGAGGCTTAGCATGGTGCCCAGAACACAGTAGGTGTTTAATGTTTATTGATTGACACAGCATGACTTTAAAGAGGATACAACAGAGTGGCAATGCTTTGCTAGTTTGGGAGAGGGAGGGAGGGAGGGAGGGAAGGAGAGAGAGTACCAGGAGTGACAGTATCAAAAAAGTGTCCATGTAGAAGGTGGTGCTGAAGTTATGTCTTGAAGGAAAGACCAGTCAGGAGACTGTTGGAGGGGAGAGATGATGAGGGCCTGGACTAAGGTAGAAGATGCTTGCTTCTTTTACCTGATTCTGACAAGGCACAGCCTCAAGGGCCTTCGCCATCTTCGCTCTTCTCCTATCCATAATTTCCAGTTTATCAATGTCTTTCTCAAACTGCAGCACCTAGAATTGAGCGCAGTGCTCCAGATGTGGTCCGCTAAGGACAGAGAACAGTTAGACTTTCACCTCCTTTCTCCTGGAAGCTCCGCCTCTCTTTGTGCAATCTGAGATCAAATTAGTTTTTTTTGGCCGATATATCAATATTCCTGACATATTGAGTTTTGAGTCTACTAAAATGTCAAGTTTTTTTTAAAGACAAACTTCTTTCTAATCATGTGTGCCTCATCTATTATAAGCATATATGAAGCTGACAGTTTGAATCCAAGTGTAAGACTTTACATTTATTTTTATTAAATTTTATCTAGACAGATTTAGTACTGTGTCCCAGTCTGTCAAGATCTTTCTGGATCCTGACTCTGTCGTCCAGCATGTTGGCCATCCCACTTCTCCCCCATCTACTGAGAAGGCAAGCAATATGATATTTTACATATGTAAAACCATGCAAAATATATTTCCTATTAGTCATATATATTTTTTAAAGTAAGAACGTTATACTTCAATTTGTACTCAAAGGTCATCAGTTCTCTCTCTGAAGGTGGACAGCATTTTTTCATCACGAGTCTTTTGGAATTGTCTTGGATCACTGTATTGATCAAAATAGCCAAGTCTTTCACAGCTGATCATCATTACAACATTACTGTCACTGTGCGCAGTGATCTTCTGGTTTTTTTCACTTCACTTGGCCTCAGTTCATAAGTCTGGCCATGTTTATCTGAAACCACCCCCACCCTCATCATTTCTTATAGAACAACAGTACTCCATCACAATCATAATGTCACTTGTCCAGCCATTCTCTAACTGATGAGCCTTCCCTCAATTTCCAATTCCTTGCCAGCAGAAAAAGAGATGCTATAAATATTTTTGTACATACATAGATCTTTTTTATTTTCCTTTGATCTCCGGGATGCAGAATTACTAGTGGTATTACTGTGTTAAAGGGTATGCACAGTTTTATAGTCCTTTGGGCATAGTTCCAAATTGTTCTCCAGAATAGTTTGACCAGTTCACTGCTCCACTAATAGTTCACTAGTATTACCTTTTTCCCCCACATCCCCTTGAGTATTTGTCATTTCTGATAGGTGTGAGGTGGTACTAAAAAGTTGTTCTAATTTGCCTTTCTCTAATTAATAGTGATTTAGAGCATTTTTCATATGACTATAGACAGCTTTCACTTCTTCTGAAAACTATCTGTTCATATCCTTTGATCATCTGTCAATTGGGGAATGACTTTTTTTTTATAAACTTGACTCCGTTCTCTAATAATTGAGAAATAAGGCCTTTATCAGAGGCACTTGCTATAAAAATTTTTTGATATTACCTCATTGTCTGTGATATCTTTTAGCAAAATGTAATTTCCTTGATTACCTCTTTTAATGAGATCTATTTTGCTCTTGCTTTGTCTGAGATCATAATTACTACCCCTACCTTTTTTTTTTTTACTTCAGCCAAAGCTTAATAGATTCACTCCAACCCCTTATTTGAACTCTGTGTGTTTTGTAAACAACATATTGCTGGATTCTGGTTTCCAATTCATTCTGCTGTCCACTTCCATTTTATGGGTAAGCTCATCCCATTCACATTCTCAGCTAAGATCACTGTGCATTTCCCTCCAACTCATTTTTCTCTTCCTCTTCCTCCTCTTCCCCTCCTCCTCCTCTTTCCTCCTCCTCTCTCCTCCTCCTCTTTTTATCCTGTCCCTCCTCAAAAGTCTATTTTGCTTCTAACCACTGCCTCCCTGATCTGTCTTCCCTTTTATGACCTTCCCTCCTTTCTCTTATCCCCTTCCTCTCCTATTTCCCTGTTGGATAAGATAGATTTCTATACACAACTAAGTATTTATGTACATTCTTCCTTCTTTGAACCAATTCTGATGACAGTGAGATTTAAGCATTGCCTGCTACCTTCCTTCTCCTCCCCATCTCCTCCTCCACTATAAAAGCTCTTCCTTGCTTGCCTTTATATGAGAAAAATTTCCCCATGCTACCTCTCCTTCCCCCCCTTCTCCTAGAGTATCCCTCTTTCTTGCCTTTCCTTTTTTTTTTACATTATTCCAATATAACTGACTCACACCCATGCCCTCAGTTTACATAAACTCCTTTTAGCTGTCCTAATAATGATAAATTTCTTAGGAGTTACATGTATTATCTTCCCATGTAAGAATATAAACAGTTTTCCTTTATGGTTTCTTTCATGTTTACCTTCTTATGCTTCTCTTGAATCTTCTGTTTGAACTGCAAACTTTCTACTCAGCTCTGGTCTTTTCATCAGGAATGTTTGAACATCCTTTATGTCATTAAATATTCATTTCCCCCTGAAGAATTATACTCAGTTTTGCTGGGTAGATTATTCTTTCTTGTAATCCTCACTCCTTTGCCTTCAAGAATACCATAGCCCAAGCCCTCTGCTGCTTTAATGTGGAAACTGCTAAATCTTGTGTGATCCTGACTGTGACTCTACGATATTTGAATGGCTTCTTTCTGGCTGCTTGCAGTATTTTCTTTTTGATCTGGGAACTCTGGAATTTGCCTGTAATATTCCTGGGAGTTTTCATTTAGGGATCTCTTTCAGGAGATAATTGGTGGATCCTTTTAATTTCTGTTTTATCTTCTGGATTTAAGACAGAGCAGTTTTTCTTTACAATTTCTTGAAACATGATGTCTAAGCTGTTGTTGTTTTTTTTAAATCATGGCTTTCTGACAGTCTGATCATTCTTAATATCTTGCCTAGATCTATTTTCCAGGTCAGTTGTTCTTCTGATGAGATATTTCACATTTTCTTCTGTTTTTCATTCTATTGACTTTGTTTTATTGTTTCTTGATGTCTCATGGAGTCTTTAGCATCCATCTGCTCAATTCTAATTTTTAAGTAATTATTTTCTTCAGTTCGCTTTTGTATCTCTTTTTCCATTTGAACAATCCTGCCTTTAAGGAGTTCTTTTCTTCAGTGAATTCTTGTGCCTTTTTTTCCATTAGGCCAATTCTATTTTTAAGGTGTTCT